TTTGTCTTGATAACGACAATCATCATCCTCGCTGTTATGATCTATAAAAAGCACAGTAACAATAAAGGTATAACATTTTAAAATTACTATTATTAGCATTCCTCATTGTTACACATATGTACTCCACTTACCGGGCTCTTCTGTGAGCTTCCCTCCACATTCACTACCACTAAATTCTATATTTACAACACACAACACTCAACTCTCATGTTGATTTTTATGGAGGGAGGAAATCGGAGAACCCGGAGAAAACCCTCGGGGAAAGAGTGAGAGCAACACAACAAACATATTCAACACATGTATGATCCAGACCAAGCCAGAGCTCGAACCAGGATCACAGTGGTGAGAGGCGAGCGTCATGGTTTCTTCTAATTATGTGTCTACTTTTTCTCCTTTTGCTTCTGCTCCTGCTGCTCACATCAGCATTACCTACGTTTTCTTGATGCTCTTCCTTTTATTATATTTTATCCCTGTCCCTTTTGGATTATGTTTCCTTACGCTTTTAAATTTTTTCCCATGCTTAATTCAATCATCCTCATTAAGAAGCAATTTATCAGATTTTTAATAACCTAATCATGGAAGTCATGGGTTTAACCATGCATAACCTTTTTTACCAAATGTAAGGAACACTTTTATATTGTGGGATATTTATATCAGCAGACAGAAAAGAAAAACCAGGAGAAAATGAGTACGTATTTTTGTCTTGATTACAAAATCAGATTATATTCCGAAGACGTATGCTTAGGCCCAGGTCAGACGCCGTAATTCACATGAGCCGAACCTAATACAAGGTAATAAGGTTATGCAAAATAGGGCGTCTGACCCAATTAAATTCGACTGATTCAATTTGGACCGACTAAGTCGTTCTTTACGACTAGGTCAGTCGTGAAGAACGACTGAAGAACGACTTCGGGTCAAACGCCGTACCTCACATGGGCCGATCCAAATGCATTAATTATTTTAATTTATGTTTTGGCGTCGTTTTCATTAACCATCACTTAAGCGCATGCGCACTTGAGCATTCTTCAAAAATGGCGGACGATGTGGAAACCCTGAATGTTTTCTTAAACCGTTCATCTGAATAATTGTTCCAGACAATTTCAAACCAACCAAAATTACGTGCACAGCGTTTACATGCTCGAGCTTTTTCACGTACGTCCGTTTCATTCATTCGCGAAAGCAGAAGAAGAGCAGAAACAAAACATACACATAGCAGTGCCACCCTTCTTTTTTGCAAAAGTATGATGCTTTTTTTGATGGAAGCCCATCTTCTTCTTGAATTCAAATTGTTTTTATTAGCAATATCCGGCGAGCTGCCATGGCAGACGCCATTGTGATGCTTTCGCCGCTGACCACTCAAGCATGAGTGTTTTTGGTACAGCTGTAAATACCCGTAATAAGTTCGACGCTTGACTCAACCCAGTCGATCTAATTCCATAAATCGATCCAAACTACAATTAGGTTCGGCTCACGTGAATTACGACGTCTGACCTGGAACTAATTAAACCATTTTCGTTGACTTAAGAGTGCCTTCTTCGCCTCTTGAGGCTATAGAAGATGACATACCCATGTATGCAAGTGTTGATTTGTCAAAAAAGAAGAGAACAAGACAAAAAGGGAACATACCAATCCATGACCAGGTAGTCAGGAACAAGGAAGAGGTATGAAATAGATGCTAGAATGTAATATTATCATTTTTATTGATCATGGTATAATAGCTCAATATTGAGTAATTGAAATGAAAAACAATTAAAGCTATATTTAAAAATTAAGGTTTCAATAAGTGTGCTGCAAAAGTACCATTTGTATATTTAGCGACCATGCTTCATTTTACATTTCATTTAATTACAAGTACAGAATCATGTGAAATCCGTTAAAATAACGATTTAGGGGATGTCAATCAAAATATAAATGTTATTCTGATTGGCATGTGTTACACACGGTACTTTTGATCCCGTTCGAACCAATAGTTGACACGTTTTTGCTGGAACTTATATTTACTGCTTCTTTCTTTGAGATCTATGCTCAGTACATGTNATTCAAAATTTTTTTTATTAGCAATATCCGGCGAACTGCCATGAAAGACGCCATTATGACGCGTTTGCCGCTGACCACTCAAACATGATTGTTTTTGGTACGACTGTAAATACTCGTAATAAGTTCGACGTTTGACTCAACCCAGTCGATCTAATTCCATAAGTCCATCCAAATTAGGTTCGGCTCATGTGAATTACGACGTCTGACCTGGGACTTAGGAACTGATTAAACCATTTCCGTTGACTTTAGAATGCCTTCTTCGCCTCTGGAGGCTGTAGAAAATGAGATACCCGTATATGCAAGTGTTGATTTGTCAAAAAAGAAGAGAACAAGACAACACGGTGAAAAACCGATCCATGCCCAGGAAGACAGGAGCAAGAAAAAGGTATGAAAAATATGCTAGAATGTAATATTATCAATTTTATTGAATTTGTATAATAGCTAAATATCGAGTTTCTTTTATTAATTGAAATGAAAACAATTAAAGCTATATTTAAATATTAAAGTTTCAATAAGTGTGCTGCAAAAGTACCATTTGTATATTTAGCGACCATGCTTCATTTTACATTTCTTTTATTTACACGTACAGAATCATATGAAATTCGTTAAAATATCGATTTAGTGGGTGTCAATAAATATAATGTTATTTTGATGTTCTATTGCAAGGCCTATGAATATCATGCATGGTGAGAAGATTTGGCATGCAACCCGTCTTTTTTGGCTGTAAGATTGATTTTAAACTAAATAACCGAATTAGTGGGCCAATAACTTATTTTGTTATTTCAGCACCCAGGCCAGATCATCTATGCAGAATTAGATCTTCTGTCTTCAACTGAAGTCATCCCTCCACCATTACCAGATCGTGACGCGTATAGTGAGATTGGTTGCAGCCAAAGTTCAAGTCATGGTGACAATTTAGGGCCTATATATGAATATGTTTTTCTGGAATGATACACAATATATTTTTACTAATACATTTAGGCACAAAGTAGTAGCGGCTAGATTCCTCGAAGCGATTAATTATTGTCTTTACTGTTCATTATATCAACAAGTCAGCTAGGCAAAAGAAATAACAAAAATGAGTTAATACTATTGATGGTTTTTAACCATTCCCATAAGAGAATTAAATAACAAAAGACACGGCGGCCATGTTGGAGGATTTAGTTCATTGACAATTATTTTGTTAAGTTCCTCCAACATGGCCGCCGTGAAAACCATCAATAAAGTCAAAAAATAGAAGCTGTCTGCACAGTTTTTGCATAAGAATAAAGTTCAATTCCCCGAGGATAGAAAATGTATTGTTTTGATACATCAAGAGGCCGCTGTGACGTCGATCACGTGAATACGCTCTATTAACGATTTTGGAGAAAACTGTAATGAAAACTGAATATAAACTTGTTTTGTTTATTTCTAATTGTAGCCGTGTGTTGTTTGCT